GTTCCCTACTTGTATGTTTCATAACAGTAAAAATGCTTTCAAACGAGCTCTTAGCTTGTCAGTAAAGTTAGGAATCCTTAGCTTGTAAATAGCTTGTCAATAAAGCTTGGGATCCTTAACCTAACCTTGTCAAACCCTGTGTAAAAAAAAAAAAAAAAAAGTCGAAGTATATTACATGTGGGTGGGGTGGGATGGGGTAGCCTGGCTAGCTACCAGTCCTACCACACCTGACTTCTTACAATAAACACTTCTCTACAAATATTTTGAGGTAAGTAATGAGTGTACTGTGTGTGTATTTTACTTTTGATTATTTTTTAATCCTTGTTCTATTGCTAACTTAATACATGTTAGTGTAAACTTATTATCTGACATTTATAAGTGGAAACAAATTGCGCTCTACTTTCCGGCAGTAGCCTGGAACCTAACTTGTCATATAAGTGGGGCCCTACTGTACGTAAATCCATCGATAAAAAACATCTATGTGAAAAACAATTCAGACAGGGCCTAATAACAAAAGAACTTACTAAATTATACACCTCAATACTTATTAACCTGATGTGGAAGTCCAAACAAATGTACATATTATGTAAACAGAGCTAATGAAATAAAAGGTGATATGAAAAAGACCCGGAAAACTCTCTCTGAAATTTTAGGCTCTAGAAAACTGTCTAGAAACAGAGAGATTAACATAGAGAAATCAGACAAACCACACATACAGCCTATAGACACTGCCAACAAACTTAATGTCTTCTTTTCTTCTATAGGATCAAAACTAGCAAGCAAAATTCCAAATGCAGATACTCATCCACAAAACTACCTCACTGGTAATTGCCCACATACTCTGTATATAGTACCAACAAATCCTACTGAAGTCTCACTAATAATTAAATCATTAATTAAAAAGCAAGGCAGGAGACCTAAATAACTTGCCACCATTCATGTGTAAAAAGCAGCTCATGTGCTGTCCCCCATTATTGTAACACTATTTAACAAATCTGTTGAATCTTCAACATTCCCATCCATACTCAAGACAGCAAGGGTCATCCCAGTCCTCAAAGGAGGTGATCCTACAGAACTGAATAACTACAGACCAATATCTAACTTGCCTTTACTCTCTAAAATCTTTGAAAAAATAATACATAAACATATCTACTCCTACCTCCTATCCCATAACATACTGAACCCCTGCCAATTTGGGTTTAGGCCAAAAAAAAGCACAAATGATGCATTTATTCAGATGCTCGAATTACTAAATACAGCATTTGAAAAAATGAATATCATCCGGGGCTCTTCATCGACTTACGGAATGCATTTCATACAGTAGACTACAATATCTTGCACCTAAAACTAGAGCATTATGGGGTCAGAGGACACTCACTCAATTACCTAAAATATTATTTTAGTGGTAGACACCAGTATGTATACACAAATGGCATGACCTTCAATACTAGTTGTTGGAGTGCTACAGGGAAGTGTCCTAGGTCCTCTACTCTTTCTTATTTACATCAGTGACCTCCCAAATGCATCACAACTCCTTAATCCACTTCTGTTTGCAAATGACACCACTTACGTCTTCTCCCACACAAACCCAGCTATACAGGTCTGCCATCACAAATCCAGCAGTTTTATCAGTTATTCAGCATTAATTTCAGTTAGCATAATTTCAGATTTCCAGGATTGCCACACCAACCTGCTGGTACTGTTTGGTGGCACTACTTACTGCATAAGTCATTCCAATTTCTTTTTCTCCATTTAACCCTAGCCATGGTTCCAACGAATAAAAGATAAGGTGGCTTTGAAGCCACTGTTGGTTGCCATGGGCTCAGTCTCATAATGCAGGGGAATAGTGCTTTATTATTATGCTAATATCAGCACTATGGCATATTTGCCTATCACAATTGATCTAATATGACATAATAAACAATATAAATAACATAAAATCATGTTAAATACTCCAGAATGACGGAGGTATGAAGAGGATATGGGATACAAGTACAGTGGACCCTTGTTTTTCGTAATTAATCCATTCCAGAGAGCATGACTATTATCAAAATTGACGATTTGCAAATCCATTTTCCTCATAAATAATGTAAATCCAATTGATTCATTCCAGACATTCAGAAGTATCAACAACAATTTTTTTTTTTACCTTAAAAATAGATTTACATGAACAAAAGAATGAACATTCAACATGACAGTTACCTTTATTGATGGCTGTTGTTGATGAATGGAAGACAGGGAGGAGGAGAGAGGGAAGAGGGGTTATTGTTTGGAAGGGGAATCCCCCTCCATAAGGACTCTAGGTCACTTCCCTAGCTTAAATATAGATCTTACATGCAGAAAAGAGAGAATGGATCAAAGTAGAATGACACGGAGAGCATTTAAATCTGTAGAGAAGGAAGGTGGGGTAGGGGTCGTCCTCAAAAAGGTTGGAAGGAAGGGGTAAGGGAGGTTTTGTGGGCGAGGGGCTTGGACTTCCAGCAGGCGTGCATGAGCGTGTTCGATAGGAGTGAATGGTGACGAATGGTATTTGGGACCTGACGATCTGTTGGAGTGTGAGCAGGGTAATATTTAGTGAAGGGATTCAGGGAAACCGGTTATTTTTATATAGCCGACTTGAGTCCTGGAAATGGAAGTACAATGCCTGCACTCTAAAGGAGGGGTTTTGGGATATTAGCAGTTTAGAGAGATATGTTTTGTATCTTTATACATATATGCTTCTAAACTGTTGTGTTCTGAGCACCTCTGCAAAAAACAGTGATTATGTGTGAGTGTGGTGAAAGTGTTGAATGATGATGAAAGTACAGGTCTCCCTCAACATTCACGTTTTCAACTTTCGCGGGCTTCACACATTCGCGAATTCCCAACCGCCAAATTCCCAGCCTCCAAATCATATTTAAGTTTACCGCCAGGAGTCCTTACTACCCTCTCTCCGACCCCTGCAACTGGCAGCCAGCCCTCCCACCACTGTGTGGTGAGTGTTTTGTTTGTTCATTATTTGCTATTAAACTACAGTATAAATAATGTAAACCCATCCATGACTGCATATTAGAATGGCTATTCAGACAGGTATTGGAAGGTGACATCATGTGTTTACTCTTGAACACAGCAAAGAATCAAACATTTGTGCTACTGCTAATAATAATAATAATAATATAAAAATAATATAATAAAAATAATAATAATAATAATAATAATAATAATAATAATAAATACGATAGAATTGAAGAAGGAAATTGTACAAAAAATACGAGGGCTGAAGCAGTGGTGGAGGAAGTGGTTGACGCATCGTCAGTGTGGCTTTGTTTATGCTGGAGTGAGTATTAGTCTCCGTGCTCTTCCAAACATTTCACAATAATTCACTGTATTTGGTGCTTGTAGATTGAGTGTGACTGGAGTGGTTGAGGCAGTGGTAGAGGCAGTTACAGAGGCAGTGGTAGAGGCAGTAATATAGGCAGTGGTAGAGGCAGTTATAGAGGCAGTGATAGAGGCAGTGGTAGAGGCAGTGATAGAGGCAGTGGTAGAGGCAGTTATAGAGGCAGTGGTAGAGGCAGTGATAGAGGCAGTGATAGAGGCAGTGATAGAGGCAGTTATAGAGACAGTTATAGAGGCAGTGGTAGAGGCAGTGATAGAGGCAGTGGTAGAGGCAGTTATAGAGGCAGTGGTAGAGGCAGTGATAGAGGCAGTGATAGAGGCAGTGATAGAGGCAGTTATAGAGGCAGTGGTAGAGGCAGTGATAGAGGCAGTGGTAGAGGCAGTTATAGAGGCAGTGATAGAGGCAGTTATAGAGGCAGTGGTAGAAGCAGTGATAGAGGCAGTGATAGAGGCAGTGGTAGAGGCAGTGGTAGAGGCAGTGATAGAGGCAGTGGTAAAGGCAGTTATAGAGGCAGTGCCTCTACCACTGCCTCTATCACTGCCTCAACCACTCCAGTCACACTCAATCTACAAGCACCAAATACAATGAATTATTGTGAAATGTTTGGAAGAGCACGGAGACTAATACTCACTCCAGCATAAACAAAGCCACACTGAGGCTGCGTCAACCACTTCCTTCACCACTGCTTCAGCCCTCGTATTTTTGTACAATTTCCTTCTTCAATTCTATCGTATTTATTATTATTATTATTATTATTATTATTATTATTATTATTATTATTATATTATTATTATTATTATTATTATTATTATTATTATTATTATTATTATTATTATTTATTATATTATTATATTATTATTATATTATTATTATTATTATTATTATTGTTATTATTATTATTATTATTATTATTATATTATTATTATTATATTATTATTATTATATTATTATTATTATTATTATTATTATTATTATTATTATTATTATTATTATTATTAGCAGTAGCAGAAATGTTTGATTCTTTGCTGTGTTCAAGAGTAAACACATGATGTCACCTTCCAATACCTGTCCGAATAGCCATTCTAGTATGCAGTCATGGATCGGTTTGCATTATTTATACTGTAGTTTAATAGCAAATAATAAACAAACAAAACACTCACCACACAGTGGTGGGAGGGCTGGCTGCCAGTTGTGGGGGTCGGAGGGAGGGTAGTAGGGACTCGCATTGGTTGAGGCAGTGGTATTTAATAACATACATGTTATTAAGGCATTACGTATGTATTTAGTACAATTTACGACGTTTTCATGTACTTTATGATTGTTCATGGTTGGACAAGTTAAGGAAGCAGCATTGTATTATATTTCCCTACAATATATTGGGCACCAAACATTCACGGTTTTTCAACATTCACGAGGCTCTTGATCCCCTAACCCTCGCGAATGTTGAGGGGGACCTGTATTTTCTTTTTGGGGATTTTCTTTCTTTTTGGGTCACCCTGCCTCGGTGGGAGACGGCCGACTTGTTGAAAAAAAAAATGCAGAAAAGAATGCCAAATAAATGTAAAGCACTAATAAAATGTATAAATGAACATTTAACATCACACTTACCTTTTATTGAAGACTGTTGTTGGTGTATGGCAGAAGGGGCAGAGAGAGGGGAGGTAAGTTTATTGTTGGAGAATATGACACTAATATCAACTCTATGGCTTATATATCTATCACAATTCAACTTATATGACATAATAAACAATATTAATAACATAGAAACATGGAATATACTCTAGAATGAATAAGATAAGTCATTATGTATGTCACGAGAGGTGTTGTGTTGTTGTTCGGTATATAAGGGCCACTGAGAGTAATGGTGGTGAAGCAGCAGCTGAGACGGGGGTGTTTTCTGTAGCCCTATATAACTCCAACAACATTGGAGGAGTTAGTAGAATTGCTGAATCACTGAAGAAGGTACCCTCTACCACCATCACAACCACTACCACCATCATAACCACTACCACCCTCTACCACCATCACTACCACTGTCTACCACTATCACAATTTCTACCACCCTCTACCACCATCACTACTACCCTCTACCACCCTCTACCACCATAACTACCACCTTCTACCACCATCACTACCACCATCACTACCACCCTCTACCACCATTGCTACCACCCTCTACCACCATCACTACCACCCTCTGCCACTATCACATCTGCTAGCACCCTCTACCACCATAACTACCACCCTCTACCACTATCACAACTGCTACCACTCTACCACCACCATCGTCGTATTTTTCTACAAACTTTTTCTTAAATTATATGTGTTTCTCACATTCTTTACCAAAGGGCTGGAACTAGAAGCTTTCTTTGGAGCCATGGTGACTTATTTAGCAGTTGCAAGCACTAAAACGAATGGAATATTATGAAATGTATCGTATGAGCTGTGGGATCATCCTGAGTCACTAATAAACAATGGCACACTGGCTGGGAATGGAGTGTGAGGCAGGTCAGGGCTGTGTGTACAGGTCCCAGATGAACGACTATTCGCGAGTCAAATCACGATTCACGAGTCAATGTTTTGACGAAAATAACGTTACGATTTTCGAAAATTACTACTTTCGAGCCTTACAATTATCGAGTGTCCACTGTACCATTCTCCTATTCCTGTCTTGGGGGCTTATGTTAGAGAAAACAAAGTATAGAACAGGGCTAACTGTGATATACACTCATGGTGCATCATAAAACTGAAACAAAAAAGCTATTTTCTCTACATAGATTATCATACATAGCAGCATATGTGTAGAGAACCTAGGATAACCCAAAAAATGTCAGACAAAGTGACTTATTTCTAGTACCTGGCTTGGGCTTGCCATATATGATTTTTGGTAAATAAATTTTTTTCTCAGATGTTTGTTGGGCTATCTTATTGAAACTTGAGCAATGTATGATGGAATGATGTTTCTTAACATACACCAAAAATGAAAGAAATCGGGCCATAAATAACAGAGTTCATTTCTCAGCCATTAGCCGCTTAGTGGTGTATTTTCATGTGGTTTTTATGGTTGTATTCTCGTTTTTTTTGTCTCATTTGATAGAATAAAAGATACATTACAGAAACAGATATGATTTTGAAATTGAGCTCAAAATAGCGGAAATGTTTGATTCTTGGCGATATTCAAGAGTAAACAAATGACGTCACTGTCTAATACATGTCCACCTGCCAGTCCAAATTCCAATATGCAGTCACAAATGGATTGACATTATTTATACAACTATTACAATAATGCAGTAGTCTGCATAACAGTAAATCTTCTATTTTTGTGTGAATAAAAATTCCGGATGGTAAGCAAGAGTAATATAAGAGGGGCCTTTAGCTGTGACTGATGAACAGAGAAAATGTTATTTTAGTGCCAGGAATGTCTGCATTGTTTATTCTGGACCCTATTTTGAAATTGTCATCTTTTGAAATTTGTGTGAAACTGGCCAAATTGCCAATTTCTGACCACTTTATTGGGTAGTTTAGAACAGGTCCCTCCTGTCTCAACTATTGGATCACTACGACAAGGTCCTAGATGCACTAGAAGACAAAAAGAATGCAGATGTAATATATACAGACTTTGCAAAAGCCTTCGACAAGTGTGACCATGGCGTAATAGCGCACAAAATGCGTGCTAAAGGAATAACAGGAAAAGTTGGTCGATGGATCTATAATTTCCTCACTAACAGAACACAGAGAGTAGTAGTCAACAGAGTAAAGTCCGAGGCAGCTACGGTGAAAAGCTCTGTTCCACAAGGCACAGTACTCGCTCCCATCTTGTTCCTCATCCTCATATCTGACATAGACAAGGATGTCAGCCACAGCACCGTGTCTTCCTTTGCAGATGACACCCGAATCTGCATGACAGTGTCTTCCATTGCAGACACTGCAAGGCTCCAGGCGGACATCAACCAAATCTTTCAGTGGGCTGCAGAAAACAATATGAAGCTCAACGATGAGAAATTTCAATTACTCAGATATGGTAAACATGAGGAAATTAAATCTTCATCAGAGTACAAAACAAATTCTGGCCACAAAATAGAGCGAAACACCAACATCAAAGACCTGGGAGTGATCATGTTGGAGGATCTCACCTTCAAGGACCATAACATTGTATCAATCGCATCTGCTAGAAAAATGACAGGATGGATAATGAGAACCTTCAAAACTAGGGAGGCCAAGCCCATGATGACACTCTTCAGGTCACTTGGTCTATCTAGGCTGGAATATTGCTGCACACTAACAGCACCTTTCAAGGCAGGTGAAATTGCTGACCTAGAAAATGTACAGAGAACCTTCACGGTGCGCATAACGGAGATAAAACACCTCAATTACTGGGAGCGCTTGAGGTTCCTAAACCTGTATTCCCTGGAACGCAGGCGGGAGAGATACATGATTATATACACCTGGAAAATCCTAGAGGGACTAGTACCGAACTTGCACACGAAAATCACTCACTACAAAAGCAAAAGACTTGGCAGACGATGCAACATCCCCCTAATGAAAAGCAGGGGTGTCACTAGCACGTTAAGAGACCATACAATAAGTGTCAGGGGCCCAAGACTGTTCAACTGCCTCCCAGCATACATAATGGGGATTACCAACAAACCCCTGGCAGTCTTCAAGCTGGCACTGGACAAGCACCTAAAGTCGGTTCCTGAGCAGCCAGGCTGTGGCTCGTACGTTGGTTTGCGTGCAGCCAGCAGCAACAGTTTGGTTGATCAGGCTCTGATCCACCAGGAGGCCTGGTCACAGACCGGGCCGCGGGGGTGTTGACCCCCGGAACTCTCTCCAGGTAAACTCCAGGTGAATGGGCAGTTTCTTGTACTCAGTCGAGAGAATAGAAATAAGTAAGTTTATTCAGGTATACTCAAATACAGTTACCTAGATGACTGAAACTATGTATAGTGCCAAAACAAAAGCATTCACATTGCTAAACTCACAAACTAGTATTTAGTCACTTAGCCATAATACCAACTTACCTCATAATTTTGCAATATTTTAAACTTAAGATTTAATCTAAGTCTTCCCGAAATGCCTAGCCATGCTAGGTGTTCTAGTGGTACACTCTGTAATTATTATTCTACTACATGTAAACCACTCAATAACCAAATTCTGTAAACTCAGCATTGTAATCCTTATAGAGAATAAATTTTGAATTGAATTGAATTGAATAGATTATCACACATAGCGGCATGTGTAGAGTACCGAGGATAACCCAAAAAAGTCAGACAAAGTGACTTTATTTCCAGTTCCTGGCTTGGGCTTGCCATATATGATTTTTGGTAAATATTTTTTTCTCAGTTGTTTGTTGGGCTATCTTATTAAAACTTGGGCAATGTATGATGGAAAGATGCTTCTTACCGTACACCAAAAATGAAAAAAATTGGCCGATAAATTTCGGAGCTCACCGCTCAGCCATTAGCCATGTCTTAGTGGTATATTTTCGTATGGTTTTAATGGTTGTATTCTCATTTTTTTGGTCTCATTTGATAGAATGGAAAATATATTACAGAAACAGATATGATTTTGATTGGTTTCACAACACAAAGTACCTTGACAATTGAGCTCAAAGTAGCAGAAATGTTCGATTTTTGCTGATGTTCAATGAACTTTCTTATGTAAGTAAAATTTGTTAACTTTATTAAGTGTATTCTAACCTAACCACTCTGTAATCTGGCAAACTCAATAATCCGGCACACTACAGGTCCTAATGATTCCAGATTTGTGATGGCAGACCTGTACTTAGTAACACTGTAAACAGTGAGCTACATAAAATATCAAACCTACTTCATGCGTTTTGGAAACAGAGCATTAAATATCCAGTTAAAAATATCGATAAATGGTTCACTGATTACAAGACACACTGAGGGCAAATTTCTAGGTCTCCACCTTGACTGTAATCTTACATTTCAGACCAACATCCATAACTAAGAAAATTACCAAAACAGTAGGTAACTTATCCAAGATATGATACTTTGTATCCCAAAGGGTGCTCCTTACTTTTTATCACTCTAATATACCCTTACCTCACCTACGGTGTTTGTGCTTGGGGATCTACCATGGCCAATCGCCTTGAACCTTTAATTTCGTTAGAGTTCAGAATAGTGTGGGTATGGTTGTTATTGAGAGATGAGATGACTTTTGAATACAGTTCTAAATTCATTTGTTGGCAGGGGACCTCTTGCTGTTTCAGGCAAAGAGTTCCAGATCTTCGGGGTTTTTATGTGCACTGCATTTTTGCATAGTGTGAGACACACACGAGGGATGTCAAAAAGTTTTTTGTGCCTCGTGTGTGATGCTTGTGTATTTTGTTGAAGCTGTCTAGGAGAAGTTTGAGTGGAAGGCTGATATTGGAGTTTAATGTTCTGTATATATAGTAGGCACAATAATAAGTGTGTATATTTTGCATATTAAGTAAGTTCAAGCTTTTGAAGAGTGGTGGGGTGTGTTGTCTGGCGCAAGAATTTGTGATCATCTGCATCGCCGCTTTGTGTTGGGTTATTAAAAGCAACTCCCTGAAATATTTTATTATCTCTTTAACTATTAAGCCATTATTACAAACTTAAAAATGTATGTTTGTATCATAAATTGTACTACCTCATATTAATAATAGAGTAAAATATTGAATATTTGTAATCTACCACTCTTCACCTGTCCAGACTTAAGTAGTCATGCCTTGACATGATAGTGGCTCTCTTTGTACCAATCAAATTATGAAATGTAAACACACACTGTAACCTTAGCAAAGAAATAAAGCTTTGATTTTGATAAAGACCGAGAAATGACCTCGGTATGCAGAATTCTCTCTCAGTGTCATAAAGCAGATAGTAAAAAAGTATAGTGTCACACCTGCAACTGCCCCTCAGCCGTAACCAAAGGGGAATGTGCCAGAGTGAATCCTCACTAACTGTCACTTCCTGACACAGTTACTGTCTACTTCAAAAAAGAAGTATTCTCAGAAAGAGTGTATTGTGTGTGCTCACACCACAATGCGACACCAACAGCAGAAGGACTTGAGTCATGTGTCAGCAATGTGGGGTGGCACTCTGTATGACTACATGCCTCATGGAGTATAATACAATCCAGGATTTCTAGAAACATTGCTGGGACCTGTAAATAACTTATATATACACTAGACCATTATGTAACATGGTAGTTACGTTCCTGAAAACACCATGTTAGGTAAAACCATGTTAGACTGAAGAACTTATGGGAAAAATAGGGTTACATTCCTGAGAGCCCAAAAAAAGCCAAACAACTTACAAAAATAAAAGTGAATATGTAGTTGTAGTTCATTGTTGTGATGTACGTATTATGTTGTTTTTACTGGTTAAGACTACAAATGTAACAGAAATAATAGTATTTCTTACCTTAAATTGTGGCTGCTGGTGTTGAGTGTCTAACTTTGTCATTCAGTCAAACAAGTCATTCAATAAGTCAGTCAAGTCATTCAGTAAGACTCAAGTCATTCAGTAAGTCAGTCAAGTCATTCAGTAAGTCAATCAGGTCATTCAGTAAGTCAGTCAAGTGATTCAGTAAGTCAGTCAAGTGATTCAGTAAATCAGTCAAGTGACTCAGTAAGTCTCAAGTCATTCAGTAAGTCAGTCAAGTTGTTCAGTAAGTCAAGTCGTTCAGTAAGCCAGTCAAGTCATTCAGTAAGTCAGTCAAGTCATTCAGTAAGTCAGTGAAATCTTTCAGTAAGTCAGTCAAGTTATTCAGTAAGTCAGTCAAATCATTCAGTAAGTCAGTCAATTGATTAAGTAAGTTAGTCAAGTGATTCAATAAGTCAGTCAAGTGATTCAGTAAGTCAGCCAAGTGATTCAATAAGTCAGTCAAGTCATTCAGTAAGTCAGTCAAGTCATTCAGTAAGTCAGTCAAGTCATTCAGTAAATCTGTCAAGTCATTTAGTAAGTCAGTCAAGTGATTCAGTAAGTCAGCCAAGTTGTTCAGTAAGTCAGTCAAGTCATTCAGTAAGTCAGTCAAGTCATTCAGTAAGTCAGTCAAGTGATTCAGTAAGTCAATCAAGTGATTCAGTAAATCAGTCAAGTCATTCAGTAAATCTGTCAAGTCATTTAGTAAGTCAGTCAGTAAATCAGTCTAGTGATTCAGTAAATCAGTCAAGTTGTTCAGTAAGTTAGTAAAATCATTCAGTAAGTCAGTAAAGTCATTTGTGCTTTATAGTTATCTGTTTACAATAATGTCTTATCACTGATTTCATCATTGCTTAGTTAATCTTAAGTTAATTTTAAGCCAGCCCGTAATGCTATGCATAGTATAAGTGGCTTTGGCATGCTGCTCTTATCTGTATTTTTTTTGTACCTCTGTATGTGTGCTCAAATTGTTAATAAATAAAAAATAAATAAATAAATAAAAGTCATTCAGAAAGTCAGTCAAGTCATTTAGTAAGTCAGTCAAGTCATTCAGTAAGTCAGTCAAGTCATTCAATAAGTCTCAAGTCATTCAGTAAGTCAGTCAAGTCATTAAGTCAGTCAATTCATTCAGTAAGTCAGTCAATTTATTCAGTAAGTCAGTCAAGTTGTTCAGTAAGTCAGTCAAGTCATTCAGTAAGTCAGTCAAGTTGTTCAGTAAGTCAGTCAAGTTGTTCAGTAAGTCAGTCAAGTCATTCAGTTCAGTCATGTCATTCAGTAAGTCAGTCAAATCATTCAGTAAGCCAATCATGTCACTCAGTAAGTCAGTCATTCAGTAAGTCAGTCAGTCATTCAGTAAGTCAGCCAGTCAGTCATTCAGTAAGTTAGCCAGTCAGTCATTCAGTAAATCAGCCAGTCAGTCATTCAGTAAGTCAGCCAGTTACACAAACTTATGTTTGCCTCTTTTTTATGTGTACAAAGTAGCACTTCATTATGGCCACAGGCTATGTCTTGTCTAATATCTTTGTTTCCTCCGTTAATTCTAAGACTTTATTTATTTATTTATTTATTAATTTGAACATGATACATAGAAGTACAAAGAAATACAGTGGTTAAGTGTAACATGCCAAAGCCCCTTGTATGCAGAGCATTATGGGCAGGCTTAAAATTAACTTAAGATTAACTAAGCAGTGATATATTCAGTGGCAAACATTATTGTAAACAAATAACAATTAAGCACAAATGAGTATTTCAAAGACAGGTCATATGGTCATTTACTGTGTTGCTTTGCATTCAGTAGAATGGAGTATTCTGTTAGGTAATGTAATTAAAAGTAACAAAGTTGATTGGGTCACAGGTTAAACAAAATTTATGAGATACAATTATTCATTATTTATTTAGTTGAGGGTGAGTAAGTGATTTTTAAGAAGAGACTTGAATTTATAAACAGACAGTGTTTCTTTTATACATATGCTTACACCTTTTCTTGCCACTTTGAGCAACACTGGTATGCCTACTGGGTGTCATGATTGCTTGGCAGATACAAGATATAGCAATTAAAAGATCAAAACACAATTCACAATCACAAGCTTGTAGTAGAGAAGCTGGACTGGACAAGTATGAAGTACGAATGCTGGGATGGTGGGGTGGTATTGGGGGATGGCTGGGGATGGCGGGTGGTCTTCCCCACTGATCCACAACAAGGCAGCCGCTTGAGGAAAAGGGAAGTTTTTTTTTCTTCCCGCAAACTGAACTGTGTTAAATTCATCTTATGACGTGTTTACATAAAATTGTGCCACAATTCTTCAATCGTGCTATACCCAAATCGTGCCAAATAAACTCGTGCTAAATGACGGTCTATTGTAGTTGTAGACAATAGTGTGTGGCTGAGCCAGGTGTACAAATTCACCTGTCAGTGCATACATGTGTGTTTCAGATTGTATGATTACTATTTCCATACCTAATATTTGTGTCTTTGCAACAGTTGGTTATGAAATCAAAAGATCTACTATAAAACATAATTATCGTACAATAAAAACTAAAAAAATTAAAAAAAAAATATCGGCAACATTTCTGCAAATGGCAGTACTCCATGTTGCCATCATATGAGCATCCAGTGCTAACTTTGCAGCCTTATATCTTAGTAAGTGCTGTCCCTGATTTTTTTTTTATCCTATTACACATAGAAAATTGCCTTCCTTATTTAAAAAAAGTGATTTTTTTTTTAAATATTCAGACCACTGGCAGTGAAAACATAGAACTATGTTTGGACAGTTAAAGGGTTAATATATGATGGTGTAAACATGTTATCAGGATATTGTATGCATTTGAAAGTGAGAAAAAGCTATGATTCGCTTTACAGTGATTTTCGCTTTACAGTGCACTTGGGGCTCAGATTGCTTCATGAGCAAGTGAGAAAGAAACAAGGAATGCCACAAGCAAGTATTGCTGAAGGGTGGATACATTACTTCTGTTGTCTTTTAACATGATACTCTAAACTATTGTTATCTTTTGAAATGTTTAATAAAGTTTACACTTTACAGAATATAAAATGTTTTCAGAGGCTGTATTTTTTTCCCTCTCTCTCCAACAGAGTCCTGAGAGTCGTCGTGGTGGTGTAAATGGTTCTCGTGGGAATGGGCGAGAGGGTAGAGTGTTTAGACGAACAGCCTCCTTACACGATGACACCCCCCACCACTCTCGACACCATTACCGTTCACTCGAGATCACACGGCCACAGTAAGCATTTTCAGATCAACTTGAAAAAATTTATTTCCCAGCATTAGTTAGGTTACTTTTAGATGAATTTAAGTTGTGTTAGTAAAGATGACTGTTTATATTAGTAAGCTAATCACTTCAAAATGAATAACCAATTACTGTAGTAAAATAATTGTAATGCAGTTCTTGGAAATAATATACGCAGTAGAAAATGCAAATAGTTATTACACTACTAAATAATTAGTACTGGTCCTGTATTGAGTTTTGTGAATAGTAATTTGGGCAAAAAATAAATATGTTTGTCAGATGATTCTGGCCCAAGGCTGGGCTCTGGGAGTAGAAAAACTCTCGGAACTCTTCAAAGGTATATCAAAGGTAAATGTATATCCAAGACCATGACCTACCACAATTATTTGAAAACAGTATTAGCATTAGATGAGTGTAAATTTGGCATTTTTTTCTTTTTTGAGGGCAGTGAAACTTATATTATGCACAGCATTTTGGAAAAGTTTGGAGCTAAAATTAAAAAAAAATAAAGAAACTGTTAAATGTAAATGATGACATGGAGGCAGAGAATTTATGCATGGAGCAAGGAGTAGTAATAGCATTTATTCAAGAGCAAGAGACAGAAGTGAGTGTAAAGAAAGTAGTTGAAGCAGTAAGCAGGTTCACATTGAGAAGAGCAGTGTGGAGAGCTAGGATTAGGAGGATACCCTTTGAGGTTCAAGACCCTCAATCCTTGGACTCCCACTGGGGGTCAAAAAATACCCCCCCCCCCCCTTTTTTTTTTTCTTATGAAAAGATAGAGAATCTTTTCCCAGTGGTAATGGCACCATAAGTATGAAGTTTGATGGAAAACTTACGGAATTATGCTCTCACAAAGTTAGAGGTCTCGACGATATTTATGCATTGGCGATTTCACCCACTTTGAACCCTGTATTCGGCAAATTCCGATGTTCCAGTCGACTAAAATCATAGCTATTTCACTAGAACTCCATTTGTTCTATCGATTGAGTACAAGAAACCGCCCATATACTGATTTCAACTACCCAATAAAGTGATCAGAAATTGGCAATTTGGCCAATTTCACACAAATTTCAAAAGATGCCAATTTCAAAATAGGGTTCAGAATAAACAAGACAGACATTCCTGGCACTAAAATAACATTTTCTCTGTTCACTAGTTATGTCTCCAGGCCCCTCTTATATTATTCTTGCTTTCCATTTTGAATTTTTCTCACAAAAATAGAAGATTTGCTGTTATGCAGACTACTGCATTATTGTAAAAATGGTATAAATAATATCAGAGCACTTGTGAAAGAATATTAGACTCACCAGTTGATGTGTATTGGACATGTGGCATGATTTGTTTACTCTTGAACATCAGTAAAAATTGAACATTTTTGCTATTTTGAGCTCAATTTCAAGGTATGTTTCATCATGAAACCAATCAAAATTATCTCTATTTCTGTAATATATCTTCCATTCTATCAAATGAGACCAAGAAAATGAGAATAAAACCATAAATACCATATAAAAATACACTTCAAAGTTGCTGTTTAAAAAAAAAAAAACATGGGAGATTTTTTCCTCATTATGCACTGTGTGCTGCAGGATATTTTTATACTGTGCACACTGACCACGCAGACCCATTCTTTCATATGTAGGCCTACCAGCTTTCTTCCACCAGATTTGAAGGTGCTAGAATTTTAGTGTATAAAAACATGACTGACACTGGCTGTTAAGACGTACATGTACATGACCGACCCTCAAAGGGTTAAAAATCCTCCTTTAGGGATACCTGATTAATTCTTTCAGTTAATCCAGTGTAGGAGTGAAAGAAGCATAGTAATATTTAAAAGTTCTATATATGGTTTTTATAATTCTGATACCACTGCTCTTTCATTATTTAGAATGAGGTATACTGTGTAATCTATATTACTGTTCTCAGTAAGATAAAGTATTACAAATAAAAGCTATTACTGATATAATTTAAGTGTTGTCTTTGAATAATTATTGTCAGTTTTCAACTACTTGACAGCTCCACGTGAATAATTCACCTCCAGTTTGTCACATGAGCCTACCAAGCTTATATATCATTCTCAGAAGGCATACATCACATGTAGTTTTTTACACTCATGAGTTGATTCCAGTTACATTCTTATTATTCACATTTAAGTTCCTTAACTAAGTGTTGACACCTGCAGGCTCACTTCCAAAGGTTATGTTACAACTACTGTATCCCAATTTTTCTATTATTTTCCCAAATCATGAATGAAATCTTTTAAATTACAGCTTTCATAGTAGAGTGCCTATTTTTATATTTTATTAATCTTTGCTACAATATATCCCTGTCTGTTTATGATGTTCTAACTTCAAAAGATTGACAGTATTTGTATTTGTTACCATGTGTTTTCCAGGGTAGAAGACTTGCTAGGCCACTCAAGTGATGGTTCCACACATCAAGGTCTTGACTTTCGGGAAGTGAGTGGATGCCTGGGGTCTGGGAGTGGGCCAGGTCGAGTGGGACCAGGGGTTACCACTAGACAGTGCCCCTCCATGCCTTTGACGCCAGACTTAGATCCAGATGCCCTTAGGCCATCCCCACCACGCAGTCAATCCCAGCCCTCAGATTTAACTCAGGTAAACAATCTCAGTAAGGATAATCCCATGGAATTAATATGTAAGGTTTAGTTTGCAGTGTTTCCTCTACAGTACTCTTCCTTGTGAGTGTTGTTTTTGTAAATAATATACAGTAACTGTGAAAATAAATCTTAATTTTCAGGGAGAAACACAGTGGTTCAAAGGTTAGTCTGTTGTATTTTAATGAAGTTTCCCAGTTGATACATGTAGGACTTTTGCATGGGAATAAATTTTCTTATTATGAAGAACACCAAGATGACTACAATGTACAATCTACATGCCAAGTATTGTAAAAATATCGAAAAGCAAGCATCTTGGTGCATTTGGAATAGCCATTCTTTAGAATGCATCTGTTCTCCTGTTTCTTTTTATCAGTAATTCTCTTGTATATCATTAAAATAAAGAAATGATACATTCTTACATATTTGTATTTAGTGCATACATCAGCTGTCAAGCTGAAAAACATTTTTCACATATCGGCATTTAATGTTTTGTTAAGCTCACCTTAATCAACATAAGCATGCATATTCCTGGGGTCTTCACTGTGTTCCATACTCAGGTTCAGCTATATTCATGTAGCATAATGAGAAGTCAAATTTTATATCTGTTGTCTATATTGCAATCATTAATATAATTTTTTTTTTTTTTGCTCACTTTGAGTCCTATTGACTTAAACATTGAAATGTTGAGTTGTTGACAGTATAATTTCAATTATGCAAAGTACACTTCTTTCTTGCACTCCTGTACGCACCTTCAACTCTTGTCAACACGGATTTTCTTTTCTTATGAAGCTCTTTGTTAACACTTGATGTTTGATGATTTTATCTTGTAATAATATAGTAATTGTACTGTTTGACAACTAGAGTTTACTAACACTAATCATTATGAGTACCATGTTATTTCTCATACAGTATTACAGTTTTTATAGTATTTTTTCATGTTATCTGGAAGTCTTTGAAAACTTTTTACCAGAGTTCTGCAGTGTTAGAAATTCAACACAGTTTTCACTAATGAAAAAAGTACGGCAAATCTACCCAGACAAAATATTTTAATATGCCATTAGTGGTTAATTATGTGGGTTAATGGGAGAATAATTATTTGATATGAATGAAATGAAAGAATGTATTTATTATAGAAAATTATAATGAGGCATGCCAGAGAATGTATATATATTCAGTAAAGGAAGATTTGCATATGGTGTTTTTAATTTTAAAGGTTCATTATAATATGTTTGTGGGGGTGCGTGTATAATTACCTGTTTGTAGCTATAGGAGTAGAACTAAGCTCATGGTGGCCCACCATTACAGAAGTTATAGAAACACTTAACATAAATTTTGTTCAGGTATCCAGTGGTTGTTTGTAGTTTACTGCCTTGTTTTGGAGCTAGGTTCATTGACCTACAGTTCCTCTGTATTGTGAAGAATTACCAAATTGTATTTTGTTATTTTTAATCACCCTGTTTTTTTCATACAGGAATTTAAAATTGTGGCCTCTTGTTCTTTAGATTATTGGTACCAGAAATCTTCCTTGTTCATTATCTCACATCCATTACCTTGTGTGATTATCTTATCTCTTAGTTCTGGATTATTTTTGCACGACTAATTTTTAATATTTTGACTGAAATTCATTTTGTGTGTGTGTGTGTGTGTGTGTGTGTGTGTGTGTGTGTGTGTGTGTGTGTGTGTGTGTGTGTGTGTGTGTGTGTGTGTGTGTGTGTGTGCATGTGTGTGTATATATGTGTATGTGTGATAAATTAGACACATGTGTAACTCTTGGATATCTTTATTGAGGAAGTGTTTCACCACACAGTGGCTTCATCAGTCCATACAAAGGAGAATGGTGAAGAACAGGAGGAGTTTGAGGTAATCAGTCTCTCAACCTTGAGTCGATGTGGTCAGTCCATCAATCTTGAAAAGAATACAGCATATCTGCGGAGAAGTAGCTTATATACCGTAGGCAGGAGAGGTGCAGCAGTTGTAGGTGGTATCATATTTGGCCAATGTGGAAGTAGGTCATGCCCAAGGGTTAGGCAAGTGAAGAATTCCTAACCCTTTGTGATTGTTTAGTCTGTAGTGAGGGGAGATTGTTTAAGTTGAGTGGCCACTTGTTAACCATTGATCATATATGGCACATGGCAGAGTCATCTCCCAACAAACCAATGAATTAATCAATCTACAATTCTTGATCAATCTCTACCAAACAAAAGTGATCCTGCTACAAGTGCATAAAATAAAAATGCTCAAAATGTCAAATTTGTATGTTGAAAAGTAATTAAGAAAATTACATTTTTAATTCAGTTGAGACACATTTGAATATCTTTAGTTTGGAAACATTTTGCCAACCTATGGCTTCATCAGTCCATTACAGGGAAGAATGGTGGAAGATAAGGAGTTTGAGGTAATCAGTCCCTCAGCTTGGAGATGTGTTCATTCCATTAGTCTTGATAAAAGTACAGTATGTTTGCAGAGAAGATATCCAAATGTTGCACAAGTGTCTCATTCTTCAACTTGTTGGTTTTCTAAACCATTTATATACCTGTCAAACACTGCACCATCTTAGGATCTTGATATAGGGAATTCTTCAGCACTTGCTTAACCCTTTCACTGTCAAGACCCCTGCTCACAAACTTGCACTCAGTGTCAAAGAATTTAAAAAGGAAAATGGTAATGACGCCAAAAGTATGAAATTTGGTGGAAAACTTACGGAATTACACTCTCGCGAAGTAGCGCTTTCGGCGATATATGCACATCGGCGATTTTGCCCACTTTGATCCCTATTTTTGGCCAATTCCATTGTTCCAGTCAACCATACTCATTGCCATATCACTAGAACTCCATTTGTCGTATCGATTGAGTACAAAAAACCACCCATTTACCAATTTCAACTACCCAATAAAATGGTCAGAAATTGGCAATTTGGCCAATTTCACACAAATTTCAAAAGATGCCAATTTCAAAATAGGGTCCAGAATCAACACTGCAGACATTCCTGGCACTAATATAACATTTTCTTTGATCATTAGTCACATCTCCAGGCCCCTCTTATATTACCCTTGCTTTCCATTTTGAATATTTATTCATACTAAAAATAGAAGATTTACTGTTATTCAGACTACTGCATTATTGTAATAATTGTAAAAATAATGTCATCCCATTTGTGACTGCATATTAGACTCACCAATTGGACACATATTGGACAGTGACATAATTTGTTTGCTCTTGAACACTGGCAAAGATCGAGCATTTCCGCTATTTGAGCTCAGTTTCAGGGTACTTTTCATCATGAAACCAAAGTCATCTCTATTTCTGTAATATATCTTCCATTCTATCAAATGAGACCAAGAAAATGAGAAAACCATAAATACCATACGAAAATGCTTCTCAAAGTCGGCGTTTTAAACCAAAAACACTGTCAGAGTTTTTATTTATCTCATTATGCACTGCGTGCTGCAGGATTTTTTTTATACTGTGCACACTGACCACGCAGACCCATTCTCTCACATGTACATCTACCTGCTTTCTTCCGCTGGATTTGAAGCTGCTAGAATTTTGGCATATTAATATGTCACCAGCACTGGCTTGTAAGCTGTACCTATATGTCACCGACAGTGAAAGGGTTAACCTATAGACATGACCTACTTCCGCTAGTATATTTTTTCACATATGACGCTTCCTATCACTGCTTTTCCTCACCTGTCTGCAGTATATAAGCTCCATCTCTTGGCATATGCCGTGCTTTTTATTAAGACTGTTGCAGTGAACACACCTCTAGGCTGCGGAACTGATTACAGTGGTACCCCAAGTTTCGTACAGCTCCCAACTCGAACAGTCATGTAAGTGTAATATTGTAAGTGCTTTTGTAAGTGTATTTTTGGGGGTCTGAAATGGACTAATCTAATTTACATTATTCCATATGGGAACAAATTCGTTCAATAACAGCACTCAAACAGCCTTCTGGAATGAATTATGACCGAAACTCGGGGTACCACTGTACCTGATTGCTGACCTGGAGAGTGTACAAAGAACTTTCACAGCACACATAAGTACGATAAAGCCCCTACATTACTGGGAAAATGGTTGAAGTCCCTTGATTTGTATTCCCTGGAATGCAGATGAGAAAGATACATGATAATATATGCTTGGAAAATCCTAGAGGGATTGGTACCAAACTTGCACATGAAAATCACTCCCTATGAAAGCAAAAGACTCAGCAAGAGATGCAACATTCCCCCGATGAAAATCAGGGGTGCCACGAGTACACTGTGGGACAACTTAATAATTGTCAGGGACCCAAGACTGTTCAGCTGCCTCCCAGCATACATAAGGGGGGGTTACCAATATTATACTGGCTATCTTCAGGAAGGCATTGGACAGACACCTTAAGTTAGTATCTGATCAGCTGGGCTGTGGTTCGTACGTCAGTATGCGTGTGGCCAGCAGTAACAGCCTGGTTGATCAGACCCTGATCCACCACGAAGCGTGGTCTCAGACTGGGTTATGGGGGCATTGACCCCTGAAACCCTCTTCAGGTATACTTCAAACTTCTTCTTATCTTCTACTTATAAATAAAAAAAAAATATTTATTTCTTTGCTAAGGTTACAATGTGTGTTTACATATCATAGTATGATTGAAGCAAAGAAAGCCACTATCATGCCGAGGCATTTTGGGCAGACCTAATCTAATACGTATAGACTACTTAAGTCTAGACCGGTGAATATGAGGTAGTACAATTTATGACAATCTTACATTTTTAAGTATGTATTTAAGTTCTTATACAATGGTAGAACGCAAATATTCTATATTTCACTCTTATTTTTAATATGAGACTTATGAATATGCATGAATGGTTCAGAGAACCGACAAGTTGATAGATTAGACACATGTGCAACACTTGGGTATCTTTAATGATACCCAAGCGTTGCACATGTGCCTAATTTATCATCATGAGACTTATGAAGTCACTGGCTGACAAAACGTTTCTACAATAAAGATCCCCAAAT